ACGGGCAGTGCCAGCGAGCCGCTGTCTTCCGTGGTGGAGTCTGTCACGGAGGAGTCCGTGGCCTCCACGGCAGCCAGGTTGAGCAGGGACACATTGGTGCAGGCCGAGGACCGTTTGAGGTTCAGACACCAGTGCATTGGTTCGTGGGACATCCGAGGCTCCACCCTGGGGAGGAGAGACGGGCAGGGGGGTCAAGACATAGCGTCAGCCCGGCCATCGTGGCTCAGTGGTTGAGCGTCAACCCATGAACCAGGAGGTCACGGTTCGATTCCCAGTCAGGACACATGCCCAGGTTGTGGGCTCGATCCCCAATGTGGGGCGTGCAGGAGGCAGCTGGTCCATGATTCTCTCTCATCATTGATGTTTCTCTCTCTCTCTCCCTCTCCCTTCCTCTCTGAAATCAATTAAGAAAAAAAAAAAGGTGTAGCTTCAGTGGGTTATGGCCCCTCCTTCCTCCCTGTCTCCATATCTCATATTCTCTGACTCCAACCTCACCGCCTACTTTCTGCTTCCTCCTCTCCCTACGACCTATTTTCTTTTTAAAATAATGTTTATTTTTATTTTTATTGATTTCAGAGAGGAAGGGAGAGGGAGAGAGAGATAGAAACATCAATGATGAGAGAGAATCATGGATCGGCTGCCTCCTGCACACCCCCTATAAAGGATCGAGCCCACAACCAGGCCTGTGCCCCGACCGGGAATCTAACGGTGACCTCCTGGTCCATGGGTCCGCGCTCAACCACTGAGCCACACCGGCCTGGCTTTCTTCTTCCTTTAATGTCCCCCCTTCCCCTGACTTCTTCCTTGCCTGCCCCTCCCCTGCCCCCTCCTCTTCACCAGCACCCACACTGAGACTCGTGCTGTGTGTGGGAGGCAGTGCTGGGCGCTAGGACCACAGCTGACAGGGTGCCCTGAACCCACCCGTGGAACGACACGGCCTTCTTTTTCTTCGAGATCCCCTTGGCTGGGCTGGTCACTCCCCCAGGAGCCTCTGGGATCATCTGGGCGCGGCTCTCCACGCCCGCCGGGGGGTCCCCTGCCTCATGGATCTCCTTGGACTGCCAGATCGTCTTCACCACCACGCTGGCCATGGCGTGTGGGGCCCTGCTCCCAGGGACTCCTGCCTCTGAGACTCTCTGCCTCTTCTGACCACTGACCCTCAAGGTTCCTGTCTCCACAAGCCTGCCTCACAAAGGACCCAACCACTGGGCCTCACTGTGCGGGGGGGTGCGGGGGGGGGTGCTGGCTCAGCGTGTTCCCCCAGGGGCCTCAGTAAACTCTTCTTCTCCAGATTCTGGTTCCACCCCGATATGTCCCTCCCCTTCAGAACCCCAATGGAGTCATTCATTCCCGGCCAGAACTTACAATGGAGGGGCCCACTGCTTCTTGGGAGGGGCCAACGTCCCTCTCCCCGAGGGTCACCGTGGGCTCACCCAGCCCCCCCACATTCCTCATTGGATCCCCTGGACTTTCCTGGGAGCCGGTGGTGAATGAGGATGGAAGTCAGTCCAGGAGGATCTAATATTCATTCAGGGACTGGGAGGGTGCCCAAGGGCAAGAGAGGAGAAAGGGGCAAAAACACCAGATGCCAGTAAGTTATAGAAGGAGAATCAAGCCGAACCGGTGTGGCTCAGTGGATAGAGCGTCGGCCTGCGGACTGAAGGGTCCCAGGTTCGATTCCAGTCAGGGGCATGTACCTTGGTTGCGGGCACATCCCCACTGGGGGGCGTGCAGGAGGGCAGCTGATCGATGTTTCTCTCTCATTGATGTTTCTAACTCTCTATCCCTCTCCCTTCCTCTCTGTAAAAAATCAATAAAATATATAAAAAAAAAAAAAGAAGGAGAATCAAAACCAGGTGATGGTGGCGAGGGCATTGGGCAAAGCTCTTTGATGCGTGCACTGGGGATTTGAGTCTTTGATTGTGTGTGAATGTCGCCTATTCAGGAAATCTAAACAGCCCAGCTGGCGTGGCTCAGGGGTTGAGCAACGACCTATGAACCAGGAGGTCACAGTTCGATTCCGAGTCAGGGCACATGCCTGGGTTGCGGGCTCGATCCCCAGTAGGGGGCGTGCAGGAGGCAGCTGATCAATGATTCTCTCTCATCCTTTTTTT